TTGTCTTTGTCTCCCGACTGCCAAAAAGTCAATCCCAATACTCGCCGGTCAATTCTCCGGACTTCTCCCGATTTCACATAGCAAATTAGAACAGCCAATCAGCGATCGCCACGATGACAGTGAGTTTCAAGTTGGTAAAAAACGTCAGAGGCCAAAGACGTTGCCGGATCTTGCAACAGTAGGAGAGCTTTTAAAACAATTTAGAAGCAATTTTTTCGATTTAAATTGTTGAAAAGTAATGAATATATTAATCCCGGAAATAATCTCGGGATCCCGGGATCCCGGGATTGTGATAACGACATCCCGAAAATCAAATTCGGGAGAAAATTCATTATACTAACAAAAGTAAGCTGAAAAGAACGTTCACAGTTGATAAAATACCGGGTATCATGAATGGAAAGCGTAAGGTCTAAGGCCTCGCGTACAAAGACAGCTTATGGCTTAGCTACGAGCTGAGCTGATCAGCATGCTGATAAGCGTTGAGAGAACGATTATATTGGAAGCAAGCAAGTGCGGCATCAGCACGGTTTTATTTAGTTGATGTACCGTATTTTTTTAACAGCGCTATTATATTGCTGATCACCTCAGTCCTCAGCGCAGCGAGTTAAACTTCTTCAAACTAAATTTCACCATCGATGGCGGAAGATCAATACATTTTCCCCAAAAATGTACACCCTTAGTCTAATGTGCGAGACCAAGAAATAATACTAAATGCCTGGGGTGTTTCGCTCAAAGTTGTATATTAGCAAAGTTGACATTGCAGGCAAAACCGCGTCAGCGCAAAGATCTATTAGACTCAGGGAATTCGATTGGTTGAAAAACTTAAGGACTGGACACTTTGGAGTTCGAAGGGGCTTCGATTTCATCCCTGGTCGCACGGATGGCTCCTATAAGCTTCTCCTTTGCGGCACTTCTGGAGAGCGGGAGCAGTGAACTTCTTCTCAGATGGATCGAAACTAGGTGGCAGGGTTCTGTCAAGAGCTTCCCATCAGTACTAAGTTCAGGCTTCCAGACTGCTGCCGTGTATTTCAAGAAGAAGTGACTGCTTATAAGGAGATGGTAGAGTCATTGCTCAGCAGTGCGATAGCAGTCAGGGAGGTGATAATCTGGTTAAGGAATGTCTGCTCTCTCTTTCAGTTGCGTCGGAATACTTATGTATTTGTCCCTTATTGTCTCTTATTTCTGAGCTCGGAGTTCCCGCAAATCCGCAGCAGATGTTCAAGCTTGTTTCCCTTCGCACCAGAATTTAACCGCAATCTTACAATCCAAGGCCTTCATAGTAGCAGGGATGTTTCTGCAGACTTTGATTTGATATTCGCGCCACCTTCCTTCATTAACACTGACACAATTGGGCGCTTCTGGCTTAATGGCTACTAATATCAGGGTGGAGATATTGTAACTAGTTATCGACAATTTTCGGATCGGTATCGCTTTTGTTGGTGTATTTTATGAATATTTTTACGCCCACAAATGCGATAGTGATCCGAAATACCCCACGGTCACATGCCACTTTACTGGTTTCCAAAACTGTATAGGAACGAAGTAGTATGTTAGGAAAGGTTAGATTTGATAAACTGCCCTTATCAAGAGTTCACCCGGTGGCCACAGAAGTACGTTTAAATGAACAGGGAAAGGTTTACCCAAACCATTCGGATTTTTTTATGAATAGGCACAGACTTCCCAGCGAAACGGTGCCTAAGCTGCCAAGGTCATTGTAGCAGTAGTCCTCCAGCAACCTTAGTCACATTCCATGCATTTCCAGCTCCGTTCTTTCTTGTAAATCCCTAAGTGCATATTTTAGAATTTCACGGACTGTCGAATACCCTTAAGTGACCTATTTAAACCTAGATAAACCCGTTCAAACTCCTACTCCTTGGGAGCGTCAAATATGAAAATCCTCGAGGAGTCAAGTTCTGATGCTACAACAACAACAACCACCCCTAGTGCTTGCCGCCCGGAATGCGGCAACCCAACACCGATAATCTTTTAGCATTGACGACAACCTTTTCGGGAGGAGAATTCGGGCTGAATAGCAAAAATTTGCGCTACTCCTCGTTTCATTTTAAATTTTCTTAAAATCTATAAAAAAAAGGACTATTTGCATACGAATAGCTACGAAAGAATGAATATTTTGAATATCTATACATGCAGTTGTAGATCGAACCTTCGATGATACAACAATAAACAATAGCCTTGATTATCAGCGTTTAAAATTTGGTATATTTAAAGCGAATTTATGTTTGTCCGACAGGTAGTAGAGTTAGCTATGGCTGGTCAATATAATATAAATTACGAACAAAAAAGATGTTTTTTTACCTACAAACGTTAACAACGCAGAACGTACATACATATACTTAAACGCAGTCCTCATACGCAGAATATTGTCGATTACTGCTGGAACCCTCAGTGTTGCTTACTACAGTGTTGCCACTCACCAATGCCTTTTCATAAACTTACCTTTTCAACTAAAATTTTTCTTGCTATAATAGGTTAGGTTAGGTTACACTGGCCGGCTGTTGCGCCTTACATAGACCCGTTGGGCCTTTGTAGTGCCAGATGGAGGTCCGTTTTACTGCGGTCTAAAGTAGTCGTCGTATAGGACGTCAACGCTTTTTGCGAAGTTCAAGAGTGCCTTAATATCCAGTTTTGAAACCTCCTCTAGTCCTTTAAACTGCGAAGCTCCGAGATAACTAAGACGATTTCTAGCTAAGGCCGGACAGAAACAGAGGAGGTGTTCTAACGTCTCACTCATGCCTTCCTCCCTGCACTTCCTGCATGCGTCACTGTTACTAATGCCCATTCTGCTTGCGTGGGATGCCAGTAGGTTGTGGCCCGTCATTAGGCCGACAACTGTCCTGCAATCCCTACGGGACCGTGTAAGCAAGAAATGGGTGTTTCCTTTGCTGCTATTGCACATGATCTTGGTGGTTTTGCATGTCGCTAATGCGTTCCATCTCCCCCTGATCCGGCACCCAGCTCTTTCGGAAATTTCATTGTAGATCGTTTTTAGCGACTTTTGTATTTCCCGTACTGGTTCGCTAGCAAGACGGATGGCACTTTTGGCAATCTCATCAGCTATTTCGTTGCCTAAAATGCCCTTGTGGCCTGGAACCCAGTATATATGCAGCCGTTTACTCTCGGCCGCCCTGTCTACTGCTTCCCTGCTTCTAAGGACATTTTCTGACGCAATACGATGTGAGACTATGGCCTTAATCGCCGCCTGGCTATCAACATAATAGATCGTAGCTAAATATAAACTACCTCGTTTTCAACAAGGAACCTTATTCAATAGTAAATTTCAAATACTTTAAACGTATTTTGGATAGGAAACTATAACTTTTTTACCATCTGCAAAACTGACGAAGTGGCAACCATCTAAAGAAGGAGAAATCAGCTGACGCGGAAAAATCTAAATTCCGCAGATTTCTGCGCTACGGGCTACACGTACAGAAAAATTCTGCGGTGTTGAGTTTTCATTTACATGGCGCTTTGGTAAGACAGATCGTGTCAGCTGACTCGGGTTTACGTACCGGTAGGTTTACGTTCTTGACTAATTTCAGCTTTAATCTCCTTTAAAATTATAAATGCAGAAAAAAGTTGCGTTCGATAAAAAAAGTTGCGTTCGATAACAAAATTAGCCAACACCAGCCAACAATCAAAATCAAGAGAGTAAGCGAATATTCTCTCCCAAAGAGATGAAAAAGCAAAAAAGTAAACGAACAGGAAATTAGCCATCACTTGCAAAAACCGGAGGAAGAAGACACACCAGCTGACTTTGTGTATGTTTTATTTGTAAACAAACTGAAATTCATGTTGCCTCCATAGGAGAAAAAATGAAAGTGACCGTTCAATGTTCGCCAGGAACATTTCTAGAAGTAAAAACTAGTTGGCGCTATCATAAAGTCACATAGCAGGCAGCCAAAAAGCATATAAATACCAAAACTCGGAAAATGCAATTTTGCTTGTTTACAAAAATTGCAACCATATGTTTTGTGATCATATGTTTTCGTGTTGGATAATTTTTGCTGACTAAAATTTTGCCAGTACAAAATGAACGCTTCTCTTGCATCAAAATGAACGCTTGCTCTCTCAATTTTTGTGTGTTGGATAATTTTTTGTCGTTATCGAACGCCATCCAGTAAAAATTTCGAAAACTATTACAAATTTTTGACTTGTCGAACGCACCTAATTATTCGGAAAGTGTGAAAATGTTTTCCATAATTGTGAATAGCACACGTTAAGAAGAAGTATTTGTTTACAAAATAATGGGGAATTATTCTTAATTAACAGCTGATTTTAACTGAGTCCCCGGTAATTAAAAAATATACAAGGACATAACGAGCATATAAAATGCAAGACCTCTGACAGCAAAAGTCCACATTTCACACGATATGGAAACTAGCACATCAGCGCAAGCCGCGTTCGCCGTAACAGAGGATCGCGTAAAAAAAAAGAAACGTATATTAAAAGCTGCGGAATATGCAAGTATTTGTAGCTTCATACAGCAGTATCAGGGGCTTGCTATTGACTGTGAAATGGAAATGGCAAATCGCCTATTTCCAGATATTGAACGGCTAACGCTAAAAAGTATTCTACAGACAGAATTAGCAACACGAATGCGGGCGCAACATTGGCATTTCGAAGCAAATGCAAAGAAGTACCTGAAAACGTAAGTAAAACATAATTCAGTATGTGCAAACCAAAATTATTAATCTATTTTCGTAACTAAATAGCTTTGAAGATAAAGTGGACACACATCCAGGCCCAACGCTACTGCTAAAAATCGCTTGCATGGAAGGCATGAGTCCAACAACACTCTGTCGCATTATTTTGCTGGAGAAGTACAAATTTGAACATAAATCCGAACTAAGTCGCCTGCTAAAACAACCACATCTCATTGAAGATCCGAAGCTAGCAGCAAACGTGGCGCAGTGTATGTGCAGCGATTCGCAAGACGGACCGCTTGTTGATTTACGCCGACGCATTTTGGGTGAAGAGTACGAATTTAAGGTAATTAATTATTAAATGTATGGAAGGACAAAATTTTATCTTTTACCCATTTCAGCTGAAAAAGATGGCCAAAGCCGTTAATATGCACTACTATGATGAAAACGATTTGCGGCGCCTGGGCTACGATAAAACGCCTGATATTAAAATGATAGTGCCTTTCTTGTATAAAGGCGAAGTAGTAAATTGGATAGAAAGTAAGGCGACATTCGGCGATGTTAAGACACATAAATGGTACATACAGCAGCAGCTGTATAGCTATAGTAATCGGTAAGTGTAGATAAGAGTTTGAGCATGTAAAAATTTAAATCATTGGTCGAATGTTTCAGTTTTGGCGCCGGTATTGTGATTTATTGGCTAGGATACCACGAAGATACCCCGCTTATTACGGACAATAATGTAGGCATCATTGTGCTGGACGACTTTCCAGCTCATGAGCATATGGTTTTCTTAAATTTGTCGAATGAAGATACACCGTTCAGAGAAACTACACGAAGCAGCACACTAGAGCCTAGTATTAACAAATCTATATCATAATTATTTTTAATTAAATTTTAAAAACTCCGGTTTGTGTAGTTTAAAATCTTGTATACGCCGTTATGGTGTATGGCATTTATGTATTTGTTTGTATTTGCTTATTTTAATTTATTCAGGTATTTCAAGATATATAAAAATGCTTAGAAAATTAGGAAAAATGTTAATAAATATTTATATTTTGATCAAAATACTTATAGTAATTAAAGATATTATCGATAATGCCAGCTGATTTGTTATCGACAACTATCAGTAATTTTTCAATTTGTTTACATTACTATTGTGACTTCTGTAATGATCTAAAAAGAAGAACTATAAAAACCACTTTGACACGTCAGATTTTCGTTCGCGAACTCAGGAACTTCCTGGAAAAATCTGTTAATAGAAGATATTTGGTGGAAAGTAAATTTTTTCGTCGCAATAAATCAAAAAAAAAAGTTTATTATGAGACTGAAGACAAGTTTGCTGTTAATTTTTGTTACTACAACAGTGCTGTACCAGTTTTCCGAAGGTCTGCCTGTGACAAAAAATAAAAAGGGTGAGAAAGAGGAAAACCCCAGCGTACCCGCTACCCCAGATGTTGAGACAGCTTTGGAATATGAACGATATTTGAAAGAGGTTGTGGAGGCGCTTGAAAGCGATCCAGAATTCCGGAAGAAATTGGACAAAGCCCCCGAAGCTGACATACGTGTAAGTACGCTTTGTGGCTTTTGTATATATATATGTACATAGTATGTATGTATGTTATGTGAATATGTGACATGGAATTGCACGCCCCTATTTTTTCTAGAGTGGCAAAATCGCACAAGAACTTGAGTACGTTAATCATCATGTGCGCTCCAAGTTAGACGAAATAAAGCGTGAAGAGGTTGAACGCTTACGCAAACTAGTGAATAAAGAGTTCGAGCTGGAGAATGATATTGATCGCGATCATTTGAAAGTATTGCAGCACTTGGATCATCATAATGAGCATACTTTCGAAATTGAGGATCTCAAAAAGTTGATCAAGAAAACGTCAGAAGATTTAGCTGAAGCCGATCGCAAACGACGTGCAGAGTTCAAGGAATATGAAATGCAAAAAGAATTTGAAAAGGAAACGAAAATAAAAAATATGACAGAGGAGCAGCGAAAACAGTTTGAACAAGAAGAAAAAGAGAAAGAGGAGAAGCACAAGAAACACGAAAAAGTTCATCACCCAGGCAA